CTACACTAGTAACGTTGCTCCAATCGGATTTAGTGCCGTTAATGCTCACTCGCTGTTCCCTGTCCTGTAACCACGCCCTAATCCATTTTAGAATACTGTATCTCCTTTAATGCCATGAGCCTCCACTTTTCTTATTAGTCTTTTGTGGAGGACTCTGTCGAAGGCTTTGCTGAAGTTGAGATATACCGCATGTTAATCCCCGTCCACTGATTCGAAAACAGATGAAAAGAATGTTAATAGATTAGTTAGACATGAACGCACGCTTGTGAAACCATGTGAATCATTTATCAACTTGTGCTTCTCCAAGTGATTTAGAATAGAGTTTGAAATGATTGCTTCCAGTAATTTGCCTACAACTGATGTTAGACTGATTGGACGTTAGTAAGAGGATAGTGATCTATCCCCCTTCTTGAAAATCGGTATTACAGTCGCTATCCTACAGGATTCCGGTACTACACCCATTTTTAAGGACATGTTAAACAACTTTGCTAAGGACATACTAAGCTCCTTACATTCCTTTAACACTCTGGCAAATATCTCATCGGGACCTGGTGACTTATTAGGTTTTAGTTTGTCTATTTGCTTACTGACATCGTTACTAGTCACCACTACCTCGCTTAATTTATTTTCTTCACTATCTCTGTATAGAGTCGGTACCTCGGGTATCATGTTTAAATTTTCAGTGGTGAAAACTGTCGTTATCAGTTAGCTCGCTGGTATCTGACTGTATTGGTCCTATCTTTTCTCATGTTTTAGTTTGATACATTTGATAGAATCCCTAGGGGTTTGTCTTTGTCTCCCTTGCTACCTTCAATTTATTATTCCTCTTTGCTTTTCTTATCTCGGTATTAATTATACCGGCCAATACCTTATAATAATCTCGGAGGTATGCTTCACCACAATTTATTATCCTACCTAAATCGGGTGGGTTCGGTTATTTGTTGGCTTAGGAAACAGTCCTGGATTGTTTAAAAAAAATCCTCTGATTCTGAGCAACCCGTAAGGTCAATCCAATCTATTTGGCTAAAGTTAAAGTCGCCTACTATACAGACTTTGCTATGTATGGAAGCCCTGCGCATTTCATCCCAAATAAGTCGGTCATTAACTCTATCAAGATTAGGAGGTCTATATATTACTCGTGATTAATTTTTCCCTACCATCGATTAATTCTATCCAAATTTTTTCTGTATTCTGCTCAGTTTTTATTTCCTTATTTATTTCACACTTCAGATTATCCCTGACATAGATTGCTACTTTGCCTCCTTTCCTAATCTGCCTATCGGTATGGAATAATTTGTAACCTGCAATTTGGTATTCGACAGGTAACTCACGTGAGTCTAGGTTTATCCATGTTTCAGCGAATGCTATTACATTATATTGATTTTTTCGGTACATACCAACGCCCTGATTTCATCCATTTTGTTTCTCATACTTTACTGTTTGCGTAGTAGACATTTAAGTTAGTCGTGTTCTGAGTCCTCTCTTTGTCGCGTTAAGGTTTTAACTCCCTGCCTAATTTAGTTTTGTCATCAATCCTAGCACTATTTCCCTATAACCTTACACTTTGTTTACCCGTTCCCACTGCAGTCTCCTCCACCCCCGTGCTCACATGTTCTCCTACCAGTTTAAAGACTTCGACATCTTTTGAACTGCCCTCTCGAGAGAGCCAGCCAGGGTTGCCACCCCATCCCTAGACAGATGCACCCCATCCCTAGCAAAAAGGTCCCTTCTGCCATAAAAGTTGTCCCAGTTGTCAATGAATGGGACTGATATTGACTTGCAATATCTGTCAAGATGGCCGTTGACACCAATTGCCCTTGACAACCATTCATTGCCAACTCTCCTTCTAGGCAGGACACCACATATGATAGGGATCTCTCACTTTGATCTAATAAGTTCTATAGCTGTCTTGAACTTATTATGAAGCTCCTCACTCCTACACCGGCCAATATCGTTACCTCCTGCACTGAGGCAGATAATGGGTTTGTTCCCATTACCAGACAAGATATTGTTCATCCTCTCAACTGTATCCTCCACCCCAGCTCCTGGCAAACACACCCTCATCCTATTTTTATTTTTACCACAAAAAGCTCTGTCCAGGTACCGTACCTGGGAATCTCCAACAATTAAGGTTTTTGTACCTTCCTTGTCAGCCTTGTCCCTGACTATGCTAACATCTCAATTCGTCTATCATAGGACTGAAAGAGTTGGTATAATTAGCTGTTGTTGTCGTATCCTTGGTGTGTTTTTTCACCACCTGTTTGGTCGCCCCTCTCCTCACAAACTTCCATTCGCCTGAGTTTTTGTCAGACACGGGCTTTCCTTGTCTTGTTTCTTCCTCCATCCTCGCTATCACTTCCGTTAATTTCAAGATTTCTTCCTTGGCCCTCTCTAACTCGGCCTCTGAAGGGCACAGCCCTGTTCACAAGTAGCACTAGCCATTACTGAACAATTAATCCCCGGGATCTAAGCCTGCCGTGACCTTTCCTCTAGTGAGGTCAGAACACAAAGTCTTAGAAAGGAAGTGGTGTGGGGGAGAATGTCAAAAAGTGTGCAGCTATCAATCAGAAAAAAGTTTGGAAAAAAAAAGAAAAACACCTAAACCCCCAGTTTAAGGTTAACCCTGAATAATGTTTCTATGTAAATATCATGTATCAGAGGTGTCTCCGTAGGTGAGAGCGAATTAACGGAATCAATTTCGATTTAGCCGACTAGTTCACTACATCGAGCAAAAAATAATGGAGAAAACACCTTCCACTAAACCAAGAGTTCGTTATATTGGATTCCATTAAATAGAGAGTATATTATACCAGTGGATGACCAAGTGAAAACCCAAGGCTATCGCTGAACCCGGTGGTTAAGGAGTATACCACTGTATTCCAGATTACTCCAAGGCATTTCATCATTGAACCCTTAGTATGGGGTCCGACTAATTACCCAAATGTAGCCGCAATGAAGTCAAATAATGGTCCTACATGAATAAATTGGACCGCCAATCACTTCTTGACTAGTATTTGGTGTCACAAAATAAAAAAAAATTGGTAAACTTAATTTAATCGGAGTTAATAGATCGAGTGCATGTACCTAACCTAACCTCGACTAGTATTTGGTGTCACGAAGTCACAAAAAATTGGTAAACTTAATTTAATCTGAGTTAATAGATCGAGTGCATGTACCTAACCTAACCTAACACAACTCAGATTAAATTAAGTTTACCAATTTTTTGTGACTTTATGACACCAAATAATAATCGAGAAGTGATTCACAGCCCGATTTACACTTGTAGGACCATCATTTGACTTCATTGCGACTACATTTGGGTAATTACTCGCTCCCTTGTTACATGCACGCGATCTATTAACTCGGATTAAAGTAAGTTTTCCAATATTTTGTGACTTTGTGACACCAAATACTAGTCGAGAAGTGATTGGCAGTCCGATTTTTTCATGTAGGACCATTATTTGACTTCATTGTGGCTACATTTGGGTAGTCGGACTGCTTAGTATGTTGTGTTGTACAGTATTGTACAGGTACACTTTAGATTTCTTACTGCACTTACATTGGTATATTGGAGGTTAATTAGTGAGTATGATTTTGGATCAACCAATAATTGCTGCCACAGCAATGGCTGTGATTTAAATTACTTCCAAACCATTGCCAGATTTCACATCGATTATTACGGTAAAGATGGAGAAGCATGGAAATTTCTACACGAACACGGTGTTCTACCTACATAAATTACAAGCATAAGGTGCAACCAGCCTTGTAGTTATAGAGCTGAAAAACAACTTTGGTACTGTCCGAAAAGAATTGTTATTCGCAAGTCTAAGAAGATGAGTCTAATTAAGGTAAGCCCACAAGTGGATAGGTTAGGTTAGGTTTAGGATTAGGTTAGGTTTAGGTTAGGTTGGGTTAGGTTTAAGGTTGGGTTTAGGGTTAGGTTAGGTTTTGGATGATTCTGACCTTCATTTCTATCGCAAATTACTTTCTTTTCTTTTTTTCCCCCACCCAAAACCTCTGGTTCCCACTAAAATTCCCCATTATCGTTGGATAAGTAATTAGCGGTAGAAATGAAGGTTAGATTCATTCAAAACACATCAAAAACCATCGGAAAAACATAATTTCACCTTCCAAATAGGTGGATGACCGAAACGATAACTTTATCCTTAAATTTTTGTTGAGTTAATTTTACTGAATACACGTCTATCAACGGCAGTGTCCACATTAATATTATCAAGTTTCCATTTTATCCACACGTTGACACTGATTTCAAGAATGGTGTTTACAACAAATCTAGAAGATTCTCAAACTTAGCGTCAGTCATACATACAAATTAACTTTAAACTTCAACATAAATAAAACGTTCTAGTTGCCATGATGTTTCAAAACACATTTTAAATACATCAAAATCACCAAACTCACAGCAAATGCAGGATTACAATAACAATTCCCAAATTTCAATGGGAACTGATATAATTTTCTCACACAATTCAATGACAAAATTCAGCTGTAAGTGAAATTTAATTTTAAGCCCGGCCATGCCTTGGGCAGTTCAGCCCTTTCAATTACTTAACTAGCATACGGCATCTGTTCTCGGCCACTCCCCCGTAACTTTCTCTACATTTTCTCATAATTTCCTGTGTAAAGAATAAGAAACAGTTACCTTATCTCCTCACAACAAAAACAACGGTCGTTAAACAAGCTTGCTGGCTCGTCAACATCACTCATCACGATTGGCGAGAATAAAAAACTTGACCAAACATCAAGTTATCATCTCCCAGACATCCAGGATGAAGTTAAGGTGATGTGGGGATCAGCTGTCTACATGAATGACATACCGCACATTCCAACACATATATCTTAACACAACAGCCATTTTCCACTATGACGATTCAACTTACTTAAAATTCTCTATATTAAATATCAACAGGTTAAGTCTTAAACCTGTTAAACTCGTTAATCGTGAGAAATTCTGTAAAACAAGTCACACTATTGCTCACCTGTCGTACTCCCTCTGCTCGTCAGCCCAAGTTTGAAGGTGCCAAGTAAAGCGAGCAACAATAGTATTATATATTTATTTTTATATATTTCATTAGCTCCAAATATATAACTAAAATATAAATACATTACTATTCCCATATTGATATTAGATTAATTCTTATTATTTTATTTACGATCATTATATGTAATTAAATTAGTCTTTCATTTGTTCTTTTCCTGCTGCCAACAAAGCTAAACAGTGAAGAAAATCGCCAGTTTAAAGGGTAAGAAAATACTCTAGTTTAATTGCATCTAAATCATCATAATGGTTTTATACTGTGATGTGAACCAATGTATACATTTTTTATTTTTAATCCAGTGTAAATTTACTCCTACTTTTGATGCTGATCATTAAGCATAAAATGATTCTTCACGTGTGATTTGTCCTGTGTATTGTTGTTTGCTATGAAAACTTTTGCACTGATTTAATGTGCCTGAAAAGTAAATCCAGGAACTGAAATTCCATTTGATTAGAATGATTAGGTGACACATCATTGGGACTCATAATTTTGATTAGAATGATTTGGTGACATAGGTCATTGCGATTGTCATAATATTGTATTGTAGTGGAATTCTCCCCTACAAACGCTGTTTGTCGCTGAGTAGCCGACCCCACCAATTCCCCAGTGTATGCCTCGTGGTCTAGGTCAACCAGCGCCGCCATACATCACGGAGCGGGGGTCAACTACTAAGCCACGCCTACCCCCCGCCACCCGCTATTTAAGACCTGACCTCGTGGTGACCTGTCTTGGACACACCCTAGCCCCTTGGTCCCTGTTCACCTAGCAGTAAAGTAGGTACCTGTTGTAAATCGAAAGGTTGCGAATTCGTATTCAGGAAAGTTGTTGGAGCTTCTAAACTTGAACTGACACAATCCGGAGGAGTGGTGACCCGAGGATCACACAGACAAAACCAAATACGTGCGCTATGCGCTAACCAAATAAACGCAGTCGTGTAAAGCCACGGCACTATCTCTCCCACTATAATTCCCTTACTAACCTCCTGCTCCTTCCTCTGTCATCTTCCCCGCTCTGCCTTTCGCTACCAACAACTTTTGGAGCTTCTAAACTTGAACGACCTGTCTCTTTTCTACCTACACCAACCAGCCAGCAACACCTCCTCCGCCTGCCTGGTGGTCCTCGCTCCCGCCGGCGAGCATGGCGACCCACGGGCTGGTCCTCCTCTGAGCACCCTCACCAACCAGCTCTCTCTACATCACGCTTGTAACCATGCTGCCTTCCCAGCACCAAGCTGCATTGTACATCCAATACAACATGTATATAGAGAGCACATTGTGAGTTTCCTTTCTCCAACCCATCCTGAGTGTGAACCAAATATCCTGAACCCCACAGTAGAGACAGACTTAGAAATACTCTTCTAATAAACTATATTGGTCACTGTGTTGTGTATCATTATTTAAAATTTTGTCCGTTTCCTGAGTCACCTAACAATGGCTCGAGAACTTAAGCTCATTGTTGACACACCCAAGTCCGTTTCACATTGTCTCAATTAATGCAGTCTCTTCGTCCTGTTGAGACGTGTGATACGCCTCCTTACCGCCACAACGCTCTCTGACAGATTGTTCCAAGAGTTCACGATTCTCACTTCAAAAAAATTTGCCCTCACAGTTTTCTGGACTTGTGGCTTCTTCAACCTTGAGTTGTGACCCCTTTTGGGGCGGACGTATGAAAGCCAGAAACCAAGCAAAGATAGAGTGTAGAAGGGCTGAAAAGGAGTTCCAGAGGCTGTTTGCAAGCGAGGTCAAGTCAAACCCAAAGGCGTTTTGCCGCTATGCAAAGTCGAAATTAAAAACACGAGTACGAGTATCAGACCTGAAGCTTGAAGATGGTAGTTACGCAGATTCTGACCAGGATAAAGCTGAGGCATTGAAAAGCTTTTTTTTTCTGTGTTCACAAGAGAGGATGCGATTAACTTTCCTGTGTTTGAGGACAGACGGTTCGACACAGCACTGACCCACTTTGTGCTTACAAAAGAGGGTATTAGATATAAACTGTCAAAGCTAAAGGTCCATAAGAGTCCCGGCCCTGACATGGTGCATCCTAGAGTGCTAAGAGAGTTGTGCAACGAGCTTACCGAGCCCCTGAAAATCCTGATTTGTAAATGCCCAGATGAACAAAAGGTCCCCAGTGAATGGAAAGTGGCTTATGTGAGTCCTGTCTTCAAGAAGGGCGATCGTCACTGCACGAACAACTATAGACCGGTGAGCCTGACCAGCATAATATGTAAAGTACTTGAGAGTATTATCAGAGATGCCGCAATGGAACATCTTCTACGAAACAACCTTGTAGAGGATTGCCAACACAGTTTTATGCCGGGGTGCTCCTGCTTAACACAATTGCTCAAGGTAATGGATATCTGGTACATTCAGGAGTCGGTGCATGCCCAGTTCTTGCCAACAGTGCGTAACAGAGACGTGCCCAATCGCTCAAGCGGCTAACGAGTCGATCGTTTGGTGAAGAGGATAAAAGTAATAGTAAAAGTAAGATTGAAGAAGCCGCAGGTCCAGAAAACTGTGAGGGCCAGTGCCGGATTTAGACCTGTGGAGGCCCATGGGCAGCCTCTTTGTGAAGGCCCCCCTCATTATAACTACCCAAGAGGGTGGGGTGGCGAGTGAAGCGAGCCTAAACATCTGGGAGTTCCGGGGGGCGCTGTAAGCCCCCGGGAAAATTTTGAAATTTGAACACTTCTTTGGAGAATTTTGAAGACATATGCAGTTATATTGAGGAAATTAGAACATTGCGAAATTTTTAATTGACTATATATTTATTGATAGTGTACAAATTGCCAACACACACACACACACAAAAGTGTGTGTTGGAAATTTGTACACATGAATTTTAAAGAATGAAAATAAAAATAATCCAAAAGAATAAACAAATAAATAAAATATTGTAATATGTGGAGTCCCCCAGATTGTGGAGGCCCCCGGGCAGCTGCCCACTTTGCCCACTCCTGAATCCGGCCCTGGTGAGGGCAAACTTTTTCGGAGTGAGAGTTGTGAACTCTTGGAACAATCTACCAGAAAGTGTTGTGACGGCACCGAGTGTGAGCTCTTTCAAGACCAGACTTGACCAAAGCTGGAGATTGGTCAGGTACATTCAGGAGCCGGTGCATGACGGCAGTGACGCTGAGTTGTACGTTTTTCCACAATTTTAGGTTAGTCTGTTTTATTGCGGGTTTCGCATGCTAAATCTATCAAATATACTCATCGTTATTAGGCTTAGGATAATTATGGATTTGCATATGTGCATAAGCAAATGCATATTTTACCATTTTTGAGCTAAAGTGCATATTCATTACTTTTTGTTTCATAAGGCATATTTTTGGAAAATTCTAAGGTATGATAAATGCTTCAACCTGTTATGGTATTTAGAATCGTAATATCCAAAAGGAATATACTAGGGTACATTAGGCTGCGGATAGCTAGGCCGTGACTGGCTGGTCAGTGGACAGGAACTGTACATGATGGGTTCGTGTACAGTTAAGTGCCTCACCAGGGGGTATAGTATACGCTCGTAGATATGCGGGCTCCATCAGTTCCTGCTTTGCTTACCGGTATGGAGGTACGATTAATGTGTGAATTCTTTAACCTCATCCCCCCACTGAAATGATCACTTAGTTTTGTTTGAATTATTTATTGTGGCTGAATATGAAATTGGCGATACTAATTTAACCACAATGATTTGTTTGTTTTTTAAGATGATAAGTTATTGGAACTTATTAACATATTATTACTAAATATTTATTTACCTATTTTATTGTGCATATTTTCTCAGTTTTTGCCTATTCAGCTATATATACATATATATATATATATATATATATATAAAAATATATATATATATATATATATATATATATATATATATATATATATATATATATATATATATATATATATATATATATATATATATATATATATATATATATATATATGTGTGTGTGTGTGTGTCGAAATTGTCGCGATGGTGGTATAGTGGTGAGCATAGCTGCCTTCCAAGCAGTTGACCCGGGTTCGATTCCCGGCCATCGCATAGTGTTTATCTTTATATAATAGCTATCCCCCAGATACTTTTATCTTTCTTTAATAATCTAGTTGCCTTATATAACTATACGAAATTAATAATCTTTTATTTTTCCTTATATTACCTAACAGTCACATTCTTATACTTTTCCTACAAAAGGACACTACAATGTTCGCAACGAACTGAATAGAACATGAGTATAGTTTTATCTTTTTTCGCTTTTTATTTCTATAATTCCGTAGCAGCTTTTGTTGAATCCAATTGAATTTATTAGGTAAATATTCAAACAGCACATGAATACATATATAAACGTTTACCGAGGATCACGCACAAGTATTAGTAATACTTTTCCAATGTGATCCTCGTATAATCCCAACGACATGCTTCATAGCATGCGTTATAAAATATTTTGCACTGTGTGGAAAAATGTATGTAACATACAACATTAAGTGCACTTGGTGGAGCAAGTTAGAAAATCGCCTGGCACAGCGTTAATAGTGAGTTTAACAAACCAATAATTTTTTAAATGCCCAGGAAAAGGGTGTTTTTTTTTTTTCTTGAGGCAGTCTGTCTGGGATGGCTGACAATACATTTTAGCTAATAATTGGGACATCCGTGGTTAACTCACAGTCGGGGCACAGCGAAAGTCATCTTCCATGTACAGTAGAGCCGAACACGCTGTTTCTTGACGCTCAACAACATAACAAAAACCTGCTTCGCAGATTTACTGTAGAATAGCACAAACACCCAGATAGCCATTTTGCTGATAGGGTAGCGACCCACTGGCACCCAAAACTGGCATGTTCTCCACGCGAAGGTTAACATAAAAAGGATTCCTTACAATTATTGCCTCATTGTAACCTCAATCAGGAAAATACGTATGAAAGTCTATCTCCAGTGACTCAGATGTTCAGGAATGTCGCTTTTCAGTACATCCCAGAGTGC